ATGTGTGTTAGCTCAGCGTCTCCAGGAAGCAGACAGCAAAACAGAACTAAATGTACAAGGATCTGATGAGCGGAAGTGCCTGTGAGAAAACTTTGGAAGGAGCTGAGAGAACCGTCAGGCTATGAGGCAGATTCCACCCTGAGTAAAGCAAGAGGGGAAAAAGGTTGAGTGGCAGCGGCCCAGATTTCCTGCAGTGTAATACAGGTTTGGGAAGGGCTGTCAGGGAGTCCTCGAGCCAATGGGGGCCATCAGAGAGGTCCCATGTCTCCCAGGACTAGGGGCCCTAGTGTTTCTGCGGCACTCGGTCAATGGCTGGGAGCAGCCCACAAGACACTAGGAAGCATGGCAAGGGTGATGATGGATTTAACAGCACAGCAGCTGGCGCCCTTGGTTAATTAGCTGCCTGTCATTGGTGGTCTCTGAGATGTATCCTCTTGGCTGCTGCCCCACAATGAGGAAGAGTAAGGAGCTAGGCCCAAGGGCAGGGTCCATTCACCAGAGGTGGGAGAGGGACCTACCTCCACTTCTGAGAGATCTCTTAGTTTCTCTGACTGTATGGAGAGCATGGTGGTGAGGGAAGCTTTGCTAGTCTCTCGTGCAGCCCAGGCTAGGCCAGTAAAAGCTCTGCTGGTTGTGATGAATGGGCTTGGGGCCACCATCCCTCCAAACTGTTCCATTGTAGCTGTCGTTCTACATGCAAATTATGATTTGGCTGTTGTTTGCACTGTTGGGAGATGGGCAAGACAAAAATGAGAGGCCATCCTTCTGCTGCCTTTAGATGTTTTCTGTTAATTGAAGTCATGAAGACGTCAGGTTTTTATGTGAGAACATTCCAGAGTGTTCATCTCCACTTCAAGAGTTGGATAAGCTTTAAGAGTTGTGGGGGAACTTCCCTGGCAGTCCAGTGATTAAGATTTCAAGCTTCCACTGTAGGGGACCCCAGTTTGATCCATGGTGGGGGAACTAAAATCCCTCATGCAGTGAGGTGTGGCCAAAAAAAAAAAAAAAAAAAAAACAGTTGTCACCCAGAGCCTCTCATTTATGTTAGGTTTCAGTCTTTTTTTAAAATCTTTATTGAATTTGTTACAACACTTCCTGTTTTCTGTTTTTGTTTCTTGGCCACCAGGCATGTGGGATTTTAGCTACCTGATCCGGGATCAAACCCTCATCCTCTGTATTGGAAGGCAAAGTCTTAATTACTAGACCACCTTCACTCTTGGTGTTGGACATTCTTTGGATTTTGACATTGTATAATGCATTTTCCACCATGATAGTGTCCTCCAGAGTAGTTTAACTGTCCTCTAAATTCTTTGTGCTGTATTTATTCATCTCCCTGACCCCCCAACCCTGGGCAATCACTGATCTTTCTACTGTCTCCTTAGTTTTGCATTTTCCAGAGTGTAGCTGGACTCGCATGGTGTGTGCTCTTTTTGGACTGGCTTCTTTCACTTATTAAGGTACATTTAAGTTTCCTGCCTGTTTTTCCACAGCTTAATAGCCATTACGGTTTAGTGCTGAATAACAGTCCATGACATGGATATACCACAGTTTGATTATTCATTTACCTACTGAAGGACATGTCAGTTGCTTCCAGTGATTTTTTAAGTACCCAATTTCCTGTTTTAAATACCTTCATGTTGAAAATACCTAGAGTGGTTTTTATTTCCTATACTTTACTCTTATATACAGGCCGCTGCCACCGCTAAGTCACTTCAATCGTGTCTGACTCTGTGTGACCCCATAGACAGCAGCCCACCAGGCTCCCCCGCCCCTGGGATTCTCCAGGCAAGAACACTGGAGTGGGTTGCCATTTCCTTCTCCAATGCATGCATGCTAAGTCATTTCAGTCGTATCTGACTCTGTGTGACCCCATGGCCACAGCCCACCAGGCTCCTCTGTCCCTAGGGTTCCTCCAGGCAAGAATACTGAAGTGGGTTGCCATTTCCGTCTCTATATATACAGGAGAAGGGGTCTATTAAGATATCATAGATACTATTTGTGTGGAGTAGAAGTCACAACAGAATGGGGCCCAGCTCAGAAACATGTTGACTTGACCATCGATTTTCTAATTTGTATCTTCATCATGTCAGTTAGTCTCATCAGACACCTCCATTTTGTTCTGCTCCCCGTGAGAGTGAAGAGATTAACATCACTGACTGAGCTCAACAAAGAGTTCAGAGTCTCAGGTTCAGGCTTCACTGGCAGAACAAACATCTCTGGGCTCCTCCTGCCCCTGCGTCTCTGCTCCTGTAGATAGTTCTTTACTCAGTTCTAAGGGTACACTGAGTTTTTTCCCATCTCAGGGTCTTTCTATTTGTGTTAGGGATGCCCTTCCTGCAGTTCACCATATGTCTGGACATTTTGCCTCCTTCAGGTTTCAGTTCAAATGTTCACTTTCTTATATGATGTTGTTATATAACAACAACTCTATTGTTGTTTTCTAGGACGTCTCCCTTTTTTGCAGAACTGTGCTTAGTTGCTCAGTTGTGTCCAACTCTTTGCGACTCTATGGACCGTAGCTGCCAAGCTCCTCTGTCCATAGGATTCTCCAGGCAAAAGCGCTGGAGTGGGTTGCCATGCCCTCCTCCAGGGGACCCTGCCACCTTACAGATCAAACCCAGGTCCTGCATTGCTGGTGGGTTCTTTATCATCTGAGCTACCAGGAAAGCTCAAGAATACTAGAATGGGTAGCCTATGTCTTCTCCATGGGATCTTCCCGACCCAGGAATTGAACTGGGGTCTCCTGCATTGCAGGGGATTCTTTACCAGCTGAGCTACCAGGGACGCCCAGAAAATTTAAACAGGGTCTTGCTATGTTAACCAGGATAGAATGCAGTGGCTATTCACAGGTGCGATCCCACTACTGATGAGCACACGGGTTTTGACCTGCTCTGTTTCTGACCTTTGCCAGTTCACCCCTCCTTAGGCAACCTGGTGGAAATATACTTAATTCAGGCCATAAAGATGTCAAGCTTTACTTCTGATCAAGCAAAAGATCTGCCCATATTCCACCAGTTAAACATGAGGGGCAATATAGAAGGGAATTTGTTTGCATTATCTGTTGCTGTATAACAAACCATTTCAGAACTTGGTGGCGTAAGACAACAATTGGTGATCAACTCGCACAATTCTGTAAGTTACCTGATTTCAACTGGATGGTTCTGCTGGTCATTCTGGGGGTTTCTGATGTAGCTGCTGTCAGACAGTGGCTAGTCCTAGCACATCCAGAATGGCTTCATTCTCCTGGCTGGTGCTTTGGCAGGGATGGTTGGAAGATTGGAGCCAGATGCTGAGATGGCCAGACTTCTATTGTTCGTGCCGTCTTGGGGCCTCTCCCTGTTCCCACTGCTGTGTTGTGTCTCCATGTGGTTTCTCCAGCAGGGTGGCTAAACTTCTTACATGGTGGCCTACACTCCAAACAGCACAAAAGCAAGAAGCTGCCCCCCTCAAGGCTTACAACGTCATTTCTGTCACATTTTCTGATTAAAGCAAGTTACAAACCTGACCCATATTCCACGTGGAAGGGGACTACACAAGGATGTGAACACCAGGAGACTTGGTGCATTAGGGTTCATCTTTACTTACTAGCCACCACAGTGCTCAAACATTGTTGGTCAGTGGACTTCGCCAACATTCATTAAGCTGGCTGATGAGTTACAATGGTGAGCATTTATGATGATGGTGGTGGTGATGATGAGAATGATAAATGAGGATTCTGTCTGCAGTTTTTCTCCTTTGAAGTTGAGGTAGTTCATAAGAAAACCATAGGAAGATTCTCTAAGAACTGGGAGCCAAATGACCTAAGAATCAAAAAAGTTAAAAGCTACATATGATGAATGATGTTAGCCATCTGGAAAAGTTTTTAGGACTAAAGTATAAGTCATTCAAGAAGAAAAGTAATCACTAAATTTCATAAATAGGAAGGTATTGATAACAAGAATGAATTTTAACAGGAAATTGGGTTGTATATCAGAATAAAGTGGATTAAGGAGTAAGTGGGACATGCCAACAAGGGCAGAACAAGGGTAACAAGTTTTTCAAGCTATGTAGCCAGGGGCTTAGAGGCATTATTGGTGAGAAAGGAAATAGGTATAATCTTTTCGGATGGTAACTAGGTAGCAAACAATAAAAGCCTTGAATGTATTAGTATCTTTTGACCTAGTTATTCAACTTCTAAGAGATCAGCTTAGTGAAATCATTAGACATATGCCAGGATTTATATACCAGGAAATTCACTTAACAAATATTTTTTTTATTGTTAAATATATCTTATATGTAGAAGCATGTCCAAAACACTGGAGCTTACTTTAAAGAATAGTAATAAAGTAAGTACCAGTATAGCCATTATCCAGGATACAAGTAAACGATTTCTCCCCCTGTGTCCTTTCCTAATTTCATGCCTCTCTTCTCCACTGTGGGTAATAATCATCCTAACCTTTGAACAATAACTTCTTTGCTTTTTCTTTTAATTTCACTACCTTGAATATATCTCTACATGATATAATGTTTAGTTTTGTTTGTTTTCAAACTTAATATAAATGCAATCATGCTGTTTGTGTTCTTGAACAATTTGCTTCTTTTGTTCTCGATTACGTCTTTAAGGTTCTTCATTGTTGAGGGGTGTGGATCCAGTTCATTCATTTCTACTGCTATATAATATTTATCTTCTCTATCTTGATAGATATTTGATTATTTTATTTTTGCTATTATGAGCAAGGCTACTAAAAACACTTATTCACATTTTCTTTCACACATGTACAAGAACTTCTCTTGAGTACAATCAAAGAGATGGAACAGCTAGATTAGCATATATTCTGCTTTCCTAAAAATGCCAAACTGTTTTCTGAAGTGACTTTACTAATTTACATTTTGATGTATGAAAGTTTGAGTTGCATTGCATCCTCATCAGCACTTGAAATTGTTAGACGTTCTTGCTTTTGCCAACCTAAGGTACAGAATGGTATCTGTCAAGCAGAACACTGTGCACCACTCGCCAGTACCTGGACCGGGGATGGGGGGGACTCCAACGCCATGGTGGCTAGCAGAGGTCATGACAGTGCCAACCACCAGAAATAGAAATCCAAGTATGTTTGCCCGTTGTATCTTGGTACTGGAGTTGCCAAGAAAAATACAGCGCAGTCCAGCATGAATGCAATGCTTTTACTCTCAGAGAAAATAACAGACTAATATCAGCTCTAATCGCGTGTATTGGTTTCCCATGGCTGGGGGCCCCTCAGCAGCCCGTGCAGGGCCACCGGCCTGCATGCCAGTTGGCCCTCTCGTGCCACAGCCTGAGTGTGTTAGCCGCTCAGTCATGTCCGACTGCGACCTCGTGAACTGTAGCCTGCCAGGCTTCTCTGTCCATGGAATTCTCCAGGCAAGAATACCCGAGTGGATTGCCATTGCCTTCTCCAGAGGATCTTCCTAACTCAGGGATTGAACCCTGGTCTCCTGCATCCCAGGCAGATTCTTCACTGTTTGAGCCACAGGGAAGCACTCTGCCACAGTAGGAGGACCCTGACCCCCGTGGAGTCTGAAAACCTGACACATGAGATCACTGACACTCATGCTCAAGCAGAACAAACGAGTATACGTTAAGCCCAAAACCAGGAAAGAGAATCCCTCAAAAGTAGTTACATCTGCCAAGGTTGTGTGGGCTCCTTATCTCTTAGTAAGGAGGTGTTCCAGGACCAAGACCCCTTCTTACATGGCTAAGCAAGGATTGAAAGACTGTGCACATCAGACAGGCTTCCCCAATAGTATCTTGTTGTGTTCATGAAGAATGCAATTCACATTTAGTACAGTTCACCCATTTAAACTATACAACTCCATGCTATCTAATATAGTCACATAGTTGTGCAATCATTCAGTTCAGTTCAGTTCAGTTCAGTTGCTCAGTCGTGTCTGACTCTTTGCGACCCAATGAAGCGCAGCACGCCAGGCCTCCCTGTCCATCACCAACTCCCGGAGTTTACTCAAACTCATGTCCATCGAGTTGGTAATGCCATCCAGCCATCTCATCCTCTGTCATCCCCTTCTCCTCCTGCCCCTAATCCCTCCCAGCATCAGGGTCTTTTCCAATGAATCAGTTCTTCCCTTCAGGTGGCCAAAGTATTGGAGTTTCAGCTTCAGCATCAGCCCTTCCAATGAACACCCAGGGCTGATCTCCTTTAGGATGGACTGGTTGGATCTCCTTGCAGTCCAAGGGACTCTCGAGAGTCATCTCCAACACCGCAGTTCAAAAGTATCAATTTTTTGGCACTCAGCTTTCCTCACAGTCCAACTCTCACATCCATACATGACCACTGGAAGAACCATAGCCTTGACCAGACAGACCTTTGTTGGCAAAGTAATGTCTCTGCTTTTTAATATGCTATCTAGGTTGGTCATAACTTTCCTTCCACTATCTAATTTTTGCAACATGTTCATTACCCTAAAAGTAACCCTATATCCATCAGCAGTTACTTCCCTATTACCTCCAGTGCTTGACTAATCACTTCCTGGTTCTATAGATTTTCTATTCTGGACATTTCATACAGATAGAATTACATAATATGTGGCCTTTGATGATTGGCTTTTTTCACATTTCCAAGTTTCATGAAGGTTGTAACACATATCAGAACTTCATCATTTATTTTTATTTTATGAATAATAAACCATTATATGGCTATACTAAATTTTATAACAAATGTTTTATGATGAATGTTTATTCATTCATCAGTTGATGAACATTTGGGTTGTTTACTTTCTTATTGTGGAATACAAGATCTTGGAACACTTTAATTTTGTTTATTCCTCTCATGACTTCCATGAAACTGTTACATGTATTTTAATTTTAAATATTGTTGTTTACTCCATTTTAAAATGTAAACAATTTAAAATAATTGCATAGAAATCATATGGGGGATAAATGGAGTTAAAGTGTTCTAAGATCTTTAATTTTACAGTAGGAAATTAAATATATTAATTACAAAGACTGGTACATGGGTTGTGGCTTTATAGTTAATGTTTTTATTTATGCACATAACTATCACTTTCTTATTCTTCATTTGTTTTCATTTCAGACCCTCTATTTGAAAATTCTCTCCGGTATAAATATGTATGTGTGTGTATTTTTAAATATCAATGTACCAAGAAAATAAAACACTATCAGTTTAGAATTTTATACCCAGTGAAATATCTTTCAAGAATGAGGGCAAAATAAAGGTGTTTGCAGATAAAAACAGTGAGAGGCTTTGCTAGCAGCAGACCCACACTAAAGGAAATGCTAGTGAATATAGTTTGGCACGCTGAAGGTATCATTCTACTAGTTTTGTGTGCGCACTGTGGCCTGAGGGAGCATAGATCTTAATCTATCCATTGCTCTTTTCAAAGTAAACTGCCTTTTATTTCTGGCTGCTTTTAAGATTTTTGTTTGTTTGTTTGCATTTGCTCTTCTGAGTTCTGCCTTCTTGTAGTCTTTGGCCTGGATATTTATCATCTCCTTGCTCCTTGTTGCTTTTGAATATAGTTGATTTGTTTTTCGGACATGACTGAGCAACTGAACTGAACTGAACTGATTTGTTTTTAGTGGGAGTATCTATTTGGTAACTTAGCCTGGAATGATACCAGAAATAAAACATCAAGTGTAATAACACAACATTAGAAATAATCTTACCTCCCCCAAAATAGCTACTGGTTAAATAAAAGGGTACATCCTTTCGATGGTATAGTGGGTAAACATTTAACTCATCTTTTTAAAGGGAAATGTATGTCAGAAGAGCAGACTGTCTTAACTATAATCAAAGCAGGATCAAAAGTAGGAGTGGAACCTGCATGTTTTAAAAGCTTCCTATGTTTTAGACTCTACTGTGTGAGTATTTATATGGACTATTGCTTTTAATATGTACAACAACCCCATGCCATAGAAATTACTGTTCCTCATCTAACGAAAATACTCAGAAAGATAATAACTTGTCCAAGACCATCTGCCAAGGACAAATAAAATAATAAATGACTACATACATTAACTATCTGAAGAAATCTACTAGCAGGATGTCAAGAGCCAAGGAAAGATGAGAGAAAGAGTCAGCTTGGCAGGGGCAGTGATCTGTCCACCTCTATACATGTGGTAGGGATACTAATGGCCAGTGTGATGTCTCGTTAGTTTGCCCAGCACATCGCTACAACGGCATCAGATAATTCTAGAGCCTTGGAGCACATCTAGCCAACTCTCCCAGCTCTCATCAGCTAACTTCTGACATGTTTTTCTGCAGATGAAAGGATCTGTACCATTTTAACTATCTCAACAGTCATATTCTCACTCTAAATTAATACCTTAGATTTGAGTTTATTCATCAGTCCCTTGTAAGTTGTATCATGTGAACCCATCCCTCTGTGCTTTGTCCCTTCTTGGTGCTTTGACGAAGTTGAGTTTCTGGACTTGCAGAGCTGAGAACTAAATCCTGCACCAAGGGAACTCAAGGTAGCTCCCTGGGAGCCTTCAGTGGCAGCTGGTAAGTCTGTCTTGTATCTTCACCTTACTTAATTTAAGGGCAGTTTGAATAAGTTGTTGAAATGTCTTCTCACTTATTGTTTTTATCTCTCACATCCAAACCCATCTTTCTATCCTTTGCAATATGATGCTGGATCTAGAATTCTGGAAACTACATTTCTTCTTTGTCAGTTCAGTTCAGTAGAGTTGCTCAGTCACGTCTGACTCTTTGCGACCCCATGGACTGCAGCACGCCAGGCTTCCCTGTCCATCACCAACTCCTGGAGCTTGCTCAAAAGCATCCTGCCTTCTCAGAGATACCTTGCAAGCTGACTGAGACTCTTTTTTCCAAGGTAAGCTTCCTCCTCTGAGTTCCTAAGTTTTAATAATTCCAGTTTCCTTTCTTCATTCCCCAGTTCTAGGGGTGGTAAATGCTTCTTGCAGTTGCCACCTCTGTGACAACTCATCTTGCCTTTTCCTTTTCTTAGTTAACAACTTTATACATAGATAACAATTATATTTCCTCTGTTCTAGTAACTGGTATGATTTCCGTCTCTTGACTGTACCTTGAATGATACAGATGTATATGAGCTGCAATTTTTCTGCTCTTTCCTTTATTGAAATTGGCAAGAAGACATTCACTCATGTCTCAGAATTTATATGTGATTTGCAAAAAAAAATAAAAACCAAGATGAGTTCACATCAAGCAATTTGTCAAAATAGGAAGAAAAGCAGAAGAAATAAATGAACAATACAGTGGCATGTTTTGTCGGTGTTTGATCCCCCCCACTCTCTATAAACTGAGCAGTTGTTCACGGTGCTCCAACGTCTTTTTCTTAGTTCTAGAAGCCAATAAATCCCAGAATAACACCATTACAGTAGAACAGACTGCACAGCCCGAAGATAGATTTACCGGAATGATGTCAGCTGATTGTTTCCATAGTACTGAGTGCTTACTTTGGGGTTTTCTTAGAGCTGAGTTGTCAAAAGGTTGTTATTTTGGCTTGAGGAAAAGCTTAAAAGGATATTCTAAGGGAAGAGAGCATGGCTTAACAACTGCTTACGTCTGGGGCTGCAGAGGGCAAAGGGAAAATAACTCAAGGACAAGCTATGAACAGTTTGTAGCCAGAGTTGCCTCCACGAGAAGAAACACTTAGCTGGTATGTCAAAGAAATAAGGCTTAAACCAAAGTTGGAGTTTAAAAACTCCGGCTTTGTACAATTATTCAAGCTTAGATTGCCGAATATTGCTGAAAGATCTAGCTGCTTTAAATCTGTTTAGGATATCCCAGTTTGAAAGGAATGGTTTGTGTTGTTTGTTTGAACACAGAGCATGCAGGGTCTTAGTTCCCAGTGAAAGTGAAAGTGGCCCAGTCGTGTCCGACTCTTTGCGACCCCGTGGACTATACAGTCCATGGTGTTCTCCAGGCCAGAATACTGGAGTGGGTGGCCTTTCCCTTCTCCAGGGCGTCTTCCCAACCGAAGGATCGAACCCAGGTCTTCCGCATTGCAGGCAGATTCCTTACCAGCTGAGCCACAAGGGAAGCCCCCTAGTTCCCCA